AATGAACCATTTACATTTTTGTCAGACCCAGCCTGCCCCATATATCTGTACTAGTCTGATACCTGTGCTTCGCTACAGTATTCAAGTTCCGTAAATCCAGTTATAATACTGATGATGTGAAGTCTGAAATGTAAAATTTGTTGTAGGAATTCTAACAGAGAAGATTGTAGTGTAAGAAATGAAGTGAGACACATGTACTTTTGCCCCTCTACTGAAGGATCTCTCTGTAGACCACATTGGTGGTTCTGCCCTCAGGTGCTAGGATCATCAGGCTGCTTGGTGAGCTCACTCTGGAGCAGGCCACATAGAACTGTCCATTTAAGAAGCGGTTGTCTGTTAAGTCAACTCCTGCCACCTTCCAAAAAAGTGATGGCCTCTTTTCTTGTGTTCCTGGATTGTTTTGCTCATATGGAGACTGTGTTGTTCTGAGCACCTCAGGGTGATCTTGCTGGTACTTGGCCTGTGCAGCTCAGTGCACTGCAGGAGTACTATGTGCAAATGTCTTTGCTGCATTCCTTAGTTGCCTTCTCCTTGTAGTGTTGGTATATCTGGCTCGACATTTGCCAGGAACTTTCTTGGGGGCAGTAAGAGGTGAGAGGTGTGAGGGGGAGTTGGTGTGAGGGAGTGGTGATGTGGTGGACATTTCTTCAGGTTCATGAGGGAGGCTGTAGGGCTTCAGGGGTAGGCACTCCTGGTGGGTGACCTGTGCGCTGGGCTGCTGGTCGCGGGCCAGTGACTTGGTTCTAGACTGGGGCTAGTGACTTGGCCATACATCTAGGCAAGGAGGTTGGCTGGAGTGACACCTGTTCTGCTTCCACTTAGTTCCCTTGCTGTTGATTTATTATGCAAAATAAATAGTTAATAAAGTGGCCCTTGTTTGAATCCAAACAGTTGTCTGTCTCATTATTTCTGGCTCGGGGGGCGAATGTAGTTGCTCCTGCAGCCTATTTATATTTTCTTGAATCTTATAATACCAGAAGGGCCTTCACCCTAGCAAGGAGCATGGCCTTGCCGTCTGCAGTAATAGAGGGACGGTACAAAGGGATCCCTTATGCGCTCAGGCTCTGCACTTGTTCCCAGTCTGAAATAGACTCTCTGGAGCATATCTTTTTAAATTGCTCTTCCCATATGGCGAGCCGAAAGGAAATCATCAGCCCACTGCTGGAAAGGTTCCCTGGAAGAGCAAACAAAATTAAATTGGAATACCTGTTGTCAGATAGGAATCATCATACATCAAGACAGGTGGCTAGGTTCTGCGCCAAGATATATAAGGAACGCAAAAAGCGAGGCAAATAGACCATATCTCTAGTTTTATCAACATTTGTTTTAAACTGACTTTTTAAATGATTTAAAAGGTTTGAACTGTAGTTCTACTTTTTCCTTTATATTTTATATAACTTATAAGCTTTTATGTTACTAAGGTTTTTACTGGCTCATAACCAGCTATGATAGTATTGGAAATTTTTCTATTTGTCTTTTAAATTGTTATGTACTGGCCAAAGACCATAATAATAAACTGACTGACTGATCGCTTCTGATTTCCTCAACTGTCATTAGCTCTCTGCAGTCACCTGTAACTGTTGGGGTTTTTTACCTCAGAACACTGAGCTCTGTAGCTGACCAATCAGAGAGTGGGGGGTGCAGAGAGGCAACTGCCTGGCAGCCGCATAGGAATCAATGGGGGGAGCACACTTTCCCCCTTTTGATCCACTTTGAGGTTGAATTTCTAAAAATCCCTTCTTAGCAAGCACCTTCGCCACGATAGGAGCGCTCTCCCTGAATTTGGTCTCTCTAGGTCCAGCGGTTTGACCTGGGCACTGATTTTATGGTGAGGGGACTTTCTCTTATATAAATAGAAGGGTTTGCAAATACTGCTAGCTAATCTCAAGTCAGCTCCTAAAACACAGTCTTTTCAGGCCATGTCATATTTTATTTGGCAGTTTCTCAGATATTTGTACATGTGAAAACCTGGTTTTATATACTTGCAATGTCAATATGATAAACTGTTAACATAGAGGAAAATGCATCAAACTAAGAATACTTAAGCACTCTTTGTAGCAAGTGAAATTAAAAACTATCAGTTAAAAGAACTAGGGGCAGCCCAAAGAAGAAAGGCTCACTCATTCCTAAAAAATGGAGGGAGGGGATTTGAAGAAATATTGTTTATTATGTTACGGAATGGGAAAGTAAATGATTTGCCTTTTATTATTTGTTGTAGATTATCCTGTTTCTTGTTATATTTTTTCTCTTTTTTTATTTGGATACGTATATATCTAATTCTTAATAGTCCCCTCTGCATGTAGATACTTCTTTCTGCAGATAGGGGGCCCACCATCCCCTAACAGGTTTTTCTACAGACTCAGAGGACTCAGGGAGGATTGAATTCCCCCCCCTCCAATACTTTTTGAAATGGCTGCCGCAGGGATCTACTCCAGAACCCACCACATGGACAATGAGGGATAAACTGAGATAGCCAGAAAGAGACAGAGAGAGAAAGAGACAAAGAGGACAGGAAGCAAAAGCAGAACTGGAAAAGTCGGATTGGGGAGGATTCTTTCTGCAGTATGAATGACTAAATAGCGGGGGGGGGGTTTGGAGCCAGGCCTGGAACTAGGATTGCCCACTCCCATGTTAGTGAATTTGTGGAGATTCTGTTGTGAAGTCTGAGGAGTGCAGAGTTAGGGAGGGGAGAGGCCTTAGCTGGATATAATGCCACACAGTCACCCGTTTTCTCCAGGAGGACAGATCTCTGTTGTCTGGAGTTCAGTTGTAATTCTGGGGGATCTCCAGGTCCCACCTGGAGGCCACCAAACCTAAGCCCAGCAGCATCCTCTGGGTGACTTGATACCACCTGACTTATATGATTCAACTAGGCCTGACTGCTTGCTACTGTTCAGCAGCAGCCACCCTATGAAAGTCAGTGTAGTATAATGCTCTGAGTTTCAGAGTAGGGTTTGTGAGACCCAGGTTTAGATGCCCATCTTGCTGTGGAAGCTCACTGGGTGATTTTGGTCCAGTCACATACGTTCAGCCTAACCTACCTCGTAGGGTTGTGGTGTGGATAAAAAGGAGAGAATAATGTAAACTGCTTTAGTCCCCACTATGGAGAAAGGCCATAGTTTTCCTCAGTAGAAGCTGCAGGGGGAAAGGAGATGGAAAGCTGAAGACAGGGGGGCAGATAAATGTAAGTTGGCTGTTGTGTGGGAAGGAAATAGAAATGCCAACTCCCAGTTGGGAAATTCCTGGAATTCCTGTGAACCACACCCAAACACCCACACACACACATGATAGGATATTTACAGTGCACTTGCATTCCATAGGTCACTCTAGGATCCTGACCGCCCAATTGGGTGCATTGTAGGATCTGTGCTGGCTATTGTCTAAGAGAGCAAAGCTTAAGCCATTCACATGGCTGTGTGAGGATCCGACTGCATTCGCGGTTTATATAAGAACACAACATAAAGGGAAGAGTGACAGAGAAAGACTGTGGAGGGGAAGAGAGAAAAGGGCAAGAGTGACAGAGTAGGGGTGTGGGAAAAAGAGAGCAGAAGGGTAACAGAGAAGGGTCTGGGGGAAGGGAGGAAGCAAAGGCATGGGAATGGAATGCTCCCTCCTTACAAGTTCCTTGTGGGTGCCCCCCCTCGTATGTATGTATAGAATTTTTTTAAATATAAAAAGGTAAGAAGGACAACAGCCAAATGAACCTCTCCAGGCAGCAAATACTATAAACTGGGTTCAACAGATGAAAAAATGCTGTCTTATGTGTCTACCAATCTCACCTCTATCAGTGCAGACATTCACAGTGGGACCCAGCAGATGCTTTTAAGTCATATTTGTAGAGGTGGACCTTCAGAGCCCCAGGTCTAGGCCATTCAGGATTTTACAGGTCATCATCAGCACTTCAAACTGGGTACAGAAACAAACTGACAACTATTTTGTAACCAGTACAATCTTATTGTAGGGTAGGGGCTATTTGTGAATTTCCTGCATTGTGCAGGGTTGGACTAGATGACCCTGGAGGTCCCTTTCAACTCTATGGTTCTATGAGTTATTATGTTATTTTCTTTCCTATCATGTTCTAGTAATTTTAGGAATTTCTTCGAAGGCAATCAAACATAGAACAATTTATAGAAGTCTAGCCCTGGGTGTTATTGTTGTGTCCTTGAGTGGCATAACAAAACTATATAGAATAGATGAAAAGGAACTGCATATTATTGTGGTTTGAAAGAAAATAACTTTTAAAAGATGTTTTCTATATTCTCCTAACAAACAGGGCCCTTTACTTTCATTTACTCTTGTCAATTTTATGACTTTGTACATAGAAAACCAGTTATATAGATGTGTAACCTGGATTAAAGTTTCTCTTCTTAGATAATTTTGTTGTATTTTTACTTCAAACAAAACTTTATTCAGTTCTTCACTCTCATATTGGAAGAAGAAAGCAATTTAATTGCAGCACAATTAACTTTTTAAAGTACTAATACTGATGGTGCTATTTTAAAAAAGTGTTTATGAGTAACTTCACTATTTCATTCAAAAATTGAATGTTATGCTATGACAATCAATCAAATATTTATGAAAACAATACACCTTTTAAGCTATAATGTTTGATCATCATTTAAGTAACTTAAGTAATTTTGTAACAATCATGGTCATAGGACTAGCATCTCTTTTCATTTGTAACACAGCCACTGATTCTTGAAGCCCATGTTAGGAATCTGTACTCTAAAAGAAAAATTCTCTATTAGAAATGTCTTTAAATTCATATTATACAGGTAGTGTTTTCATTAGCCACACAAACATCTGTCAGCCACATAAATGTTGGGGTTTTTACCTATTTTATGTATTCTATGTTATGCATTTTGTCTATGTTGTAAACTGCCTTGAAGTCCATTAGGGAGAAAGGCAGCTAATAAATAAAAAAAATATTTACACTTGTCAATTGTAAATAAGAATCAATTAATTATAGATCCCTATTTTCTTTTTTGTTTATTTTCAAGACACACTTTTTAGTGGGCTTGGACTTGGTGCAGTCATTGGACTGGGTGTAGCTGCTCTTTTATTAATCCTGGTTGTGACTGATGTCAGCTGCTTCTTTGTACGGCAATGTGGATTACTAATGTGCATTACCAGAAGGATCTGTGGGAAGAAAAGTGGCTCCAGTGGAAAGAGTAAAGAGCTAGAAGAGGGAAAGGCTGCGTATCTGTGAGTATGAGTCAAAATACTTAAAGGAGATTTTTTTATTTTAAAAAAGGCTGGGCAAGCATTAAATTGGAAATACTTCAGATATCATCTAACTGGAAGAAAACAGGGTGTCAAATGTAATGTAAATATTGCTATTGAAAGAAAATTTCACCTTTGTATTCAAAATATTTGTATTGCATGTTTTGATTCAATGGTTTATCTGAGATTTTATTAAAACAATCAGCAAACTAGCACTTATGCAAGTGCTTGGCTTAAATCCATAAAAGTCACTGAGGTATTTGTTACTCTTGATGACCAACCCTAACCATATGCATTCTGAAGGAAATGCCTCTGAATCCAATGCTATTTACTTCCAAATAAACGCACAAGAAAGGATTACAGCCAGACAATCTGATTCCATGCTTGTTTACTCTGAAGTGTCAACATGCCCATATAATTGCCTTCCAAGAAAATGTTCACAGGATTGTAGCAGGACCATCTTATGTAGCAAAATTTGGTGGAAATAAAATATGAAATTGGGGAATGGGGTTGAGAAGTTTCCCCAGATCCATCATAATGTATTCATTCTGGATAGGATCCAGTAGAGCATTTCTGGAGGTAGAAGGATTTTTGGATATGGAGTGTGGTTTTTTAACTGCCCCCTCCCACTGCAGCCCCAAATGCTCTCCACATCCCCAGAAACAGCAGGAGAGACCAGAAAGTCATGCTCTATGGGCAGAAGTCCTTTCAACCACAGAAACAACTCCACTGAATCCAACCTTCTATTTTTTCTCCTTTTATTCTTATCAAGACTTCTAAGAGCCACTACAAGCTCACAAATAAAGATTCGATTTTTCCCTCTTCAACATCACTCAAACCCAATCAAAACATCATATGAAAACAAAGGTCTCTCAAGAGTGGTCAAGGCCAGTATTCCCTCTAAGCTGAGATAGGGGGTGTTGGCACACAAAATTTTAGCTGGCTGCTCAGGGAGTTTAGCTTCCAGCTCACAAACATTTTTCCTCCATTGGAAACAATGGAGGATGGGGGCACCTCCTTCTGGAGCCCATAGAATTGGACCCCCTGGTCCAATCTGTTTGAAACTTGGGGGGGGGTTGAGGAGAGGCTCCAGCAGCTATGCTGCAAATTTGGTGCCTCTGCCTCAAAAAACAGTGCCCCCAAGCCCGAGATACCCCTGGATCAATGCTCCCTCTAAGATGTGGAGCCTTGTGAGCAAACATTCTACTTTGTGAGCTACTGGCATTAGTTTGCTCTGGAGCCATCCTTCCTGAGCTAAGACAAAAATGTGTGAGCTGGAGGCTACAAAACTGTGAACTAGATCATACTAATTCAGCTTAGAGGGAACACTGCCCTGGATCAATTCTCCATTATAGACTATGGGGCCCATTGGCTCCGAACAGTTTAACATTTACTGGACACTACCTACCTCCATGAATAACCACTTACTTCTAATGAATGGCCATCTTGTTTAAATTTGAGCACTTTATTTGTATTTTTTTAAACATATTTTTATTGAGTTTTCATGCTTTATAGACATACAGACACACAAATCACAACAAGTATATCCTTTCAAGATACTTCACATTGACCACAAGATATCCTTCTTACAACATTCATATCCTTTCTTAACACATCACGTTGATCATAAAAAGGCATTTTCTTTATGTAGAGTCCAAATTTAGTTTTGCTATCTCACATCATTGCACTCATCTTTCTCACAACATATTTTGTACTAATTATCTTATCCATATTTCATTGCTTCCTTTCCCCATCTAAGTATCAATACTCCTTTTTTTTTTTACAAATTCATCTACTATTTTCCTATTAATCACTCTCATTTAAAGATTTTAGCAATGGCGGCCTATCGTTAGTTCTTATTTATCAAGTCTCAAATCTCATGTCAATTACTATTGCGGGATTTATTCACGGGTCTTAATAATATAAATAATATAATCATGACCAAAATATCAAAATTCCTATATAACCCTATTCCCCAATAATATTTTTTCCTTATAACCCTAGGATCTCTTTCCTCTTCCCAAACATATATACCAACATTTTTAAACTAATATGGACATCAACCTAATCATAAACCATAACATTACATTTAACATCATCAAATCTAAATTTCAAATACACAATTTTTAACTCTCCACCCCTATCTATCAGCATCAAAATTCATTTCAAATTGGCAAACAGATATTCCATTGGGTTTAACCAAAGTAAAATTCCTCAAAACAAAATTTCCACTACACCCTTTCTCCTCCCTTCCTTCAACACTTAATTTATTACCCTTTACTAGTCTACATAAACAAAACCAAACTAGATTTCCCTTACTAAATTCAATTTATATCTTATGCCCTAATATTTTCCCTTTCCCTTTCCATTCATAAAAATTTCATTCCAGGTTTAATTATAATGTGAAAAACAAATGTTAAAAATTTACAATCACCCCATCAATCTTCAATACAATCCAGAGTTTCAAACACCCTTGGCCAAATTCATCTCCAAGTAATTCATAGCACAATTATCCATACCATTTGTCTGTCCTTATACTCGTGTATTTCCGTTTCCGTTTCCAACTTGTCTCCATAATTATTCCCAGTAATTGTTTGCCCTGTCTTCTTAAAGTCCTTTACTTCTTTCTTTGCTTTCTTCCCTCTGGTGACCTTCTCCCTTTCTTTCTTATTCAAGTCTAATAATGATCTTTTTTTCCTTACTTTTAACTTGGGGTTCCTTTGAATTTTCAAAACATCCTTAAAGGTGTCTGCTTCCTGCCTTTCTTCCTCTGCCAGTGATAGCTGAATAGTCTGTTCTTCTCTCTCTTTCTCTATCTCCAACCCTTCCTCTTGTCCTTTCGTATCATGTCTTTCTTCCTTGTTTCCTATTCCCTCCAGCACCTCTTTTACGACCTCTCTCAGAGCCTTCTCACAAGTCATTGTAAATGTTCATTTTATTTCCTCCGCCAAAAATTTTTTAAGTTCCTCCCACGAAAATCTCCTTCCATGATATCTTCTGATTCTATAGCCTCCTTTCCACAAAACATTTTTCTCACACTCCTAAGTAGGTTTATGAACTGTTTCTTAAAGGGTATTGATACTCACAACAAAAAGTCTTACCCCGTTTAGCTTATTACTCACAGTTCCACACAGAAATTTATCACGGCCGAATCTTCTTCAAAAAGTGTAATATTTCTCCGGGGCATTCCTCATGAGCATATCGGGTTGTCGCTGCAAAGTATATTTTCAATACAAACAACATTTTTTAAAAACAGTCCAGGTGGCGGCGACTCTAAAGAACACGGCAGCCATGTTCTTTGCCTTCTCCCGCTCCTGCTTCAGGGCAATTCTGGAACACCTCCCCGCTTTGCCAAAGTCCGGGGAGGGCCAGCAAGAAGCCCCCTGCTCCTGCAGTCTCTTCCCGAGCTTGCAGGTCGTGCTCCCCCATCGCTGCCCCCCCGAAAAAGAACAAAAGGGCACAGGCGGCTCGGAGCTCAAGCCCGAGCTGCTGCCCGTCGTCGCGCCATACCGGAGGTCCGAGCCCTTTATTTGTAATATTGTTGGTTTTTACTGTTTTTATCCTGTTTTTATGTATGGGCATATCTTGCCCTCTTGTAAGCCGCCCTGAGCTTGTTTGTGGGGCAGACAGGTTATAAATACAAAAATAAATAAATACATAAATACATAAATAAATAAATAAATAAATAGTGGTCCCTATAGGCTATAATGGAGCAGGGAAATGTTTTTGTTTTTTGCACACCCCTATTATGCTTTTCAGTATGAATTGTAAGCTGCCTTGAGTCACAGTAAAAGTGGGATATAAATATTCGAATAATTAAGTAGTTTGGGCAGGTTGATAACATTTAAGCAACTTCCTGTTTGTTAGGTTAGGCAGGGTTCTGACAGTAAATAATTTATGTTGAGATTTTTTTCAAGGTTATGGAAATAATAATCTAAAAACTTTTTAATATTCAAATGTAGACTTGTTCACAACTTTAATGCTACTAGCTTTTTTCATTCATGAGGTAGAATTTTTGTTCACAATCCTGTGGAGCTTAGAGGAAACATTGATCAGGGCCCTTGGAATTTCATCCCTCTCATGTTCATGATGGCAGTCCTGGTTCCATTGGTTTTCTGTTGAATTTTGTGGAATTTTAAAGAGTTGATCCAATGAATAAAGAGAGAAAAAAGAGAGTATTCCTCCACAACAGAGATCAAGAAAAAGAAATGTCTTAAGTATTTTGGGTTAATATTTCTATGACCCCATGCCCAATCTAGGGTTGCCAGTCCCCACGTGGGAGTGGGAGATGGCCAGTCCTGCCTTCAGCAGCCATAGCTGGATGCAGTGTCCCCAGCATGATGACATCACACAGAAGTTGATGTTGCCCCCCCCTACTCCCAGGAAGCTCCTTCCAACCCCCCACTGACAGAAGAAAAGGACCTGGCAACCCTAACCCAACCCCAAAACTGGGAATCTCAGGGAAAGTGTACAGAGGTGTTCCAATGTGAAAATGAAGACACCAGTGAAAATAATTCAAAATCATTCAAAGGCAAGCCCTTTATGTGTTGAAAACACATTCAAACCCTTTATGTGTTGAAAATTTTAAAAAAATGCAGTACAGCAAAACTGCAAACCTCTTGCAAAAAACATTTTTAAAAACGTTTTTAAAACATTCTTCAGAACACACCACTAGTTTTTTTTCTTAAAGAAGTTCTCATTTTTGTTTCTGTGGTAGTTTGTGTGTTGCACTGCAATTGCTCTCCTCTAGAACAGAGAAACAAAACAATATTGCAAAGCGGGTTTTAATTTCTTTTAACTGTTACTGTCATGAAGAGCTTACCACAAGTTTATAGGTTAACAGAGAAATATCTTAATTTATTCATACAAATTGTGGTTTCCATAATGAACAGATCAGATCTGAAGGTTGCATTTGTTAGCCTCACTGTTGGTAAAAATACATTTATGTTGGGAGTTCTCATTTCATTACTTTGAATCTTATTCTGGAATTTACTTTGAAATGTTAGTTGTGTGTTAAAATGAATGGTAACTCAACAACCATCATTTCAACATGTCTAGTTCCAGTGTACTTTGGGGAGGGTTGTAAATGAAAATGACAATTCTGTTGAAAAAGTATTTAATCACAATTAATTATACTTCTGTTTTTTCTTCATTATTATTAAAGCAGAATCCTAGTAATTAATATAATGTAATTAATTTTGATAACAGTAGCTGAAGCTAAGAAACTTTAAATATTTTTTAGGAAAGATGGATCAAAAGAACCAATAGTTGAGATGAGAACAGAGGATGAAAGAATTACCAGTCATGAAGATGGGAGCCCTGTAAATGAACCCAATGAAACAACACCATTAACAGAACCGGAGTACGTACTCTGATGGTTCTCATAAATCCGAAGTTACTATTACCTGTAATCAGTATATTTCCTTTGCAATGAGAAAATAACAACAGTGAAGAAGTGTCATACATTACATAATACATTAATCAATGTGATATGATACCATGGCAAAGAACCAAAGAGCAATTTTAGGTGCTCCCAAAGCACTGGGTATTCCAGGATAAAATGTTTATTCTTGTACCTTGAACTTCAGATTCCAATGGTTTATTGCAAACTGCTTTTGGAATCTCCTTCAGCTTCAAAGAAGATTTTCCACATAACATGGAGGCTGCTGTTTGAAAAACCCAAGTCAAAATGTCCTTTGGGTGTGCAAACCAGGAGTCATGGTTCTCAGTACGAAGGCTAATGTATTAATTCTGAGAAGCATATCAGACATACTGTTTGAGTGCACTTTCATCTGGTTAGATTTCTGTGAAACGTTTTCATCTCTACAGAGGGATTCCTGCAGTTTCTGTTCAAGAGATCCTCATAGCCTGAACTTGCTAGCTGGAACCAGCTGTATCAAATTGAAATTCTTGGCTTCACAGAAATTCACCACCAGTTACAGAAGCTTTTATCTCTCCAGAATTTCTTCACAGCAATTAAAATTATTGCACTGAATTACAAATGACAGGAACATATGATGTTAATTTCAAATTTATTTTTGTTTCTTAAAAATATGATAAAGGAAATGGGCACTCTGTTCTACACTAATTGTCACACTAATGATTTGAAAACCACTGGTTTTAAGGAAGATGTATTAATTGCTACCAAATTTGTTGAGGAAAAATGTTTCCGTAGAAACCTAAATTCATTTGATTCTTCCATATGGATCTTAGTGCTACAGAGCAATAGATCTGTTCATGTTTTCCTACTTTAGTAGGATGTCAGCTTGGAAAAAAATTAGATATTTTATAGCTAATTTTATTTCAATGTAGAGAAACCTCTTCTTTCCATTTTTGAAACTACCATACATTGTATATGGAATGGTTCTATATGTTTTCATAATCTGGGACTCTGTGACAAAGTTTTAGTACAACTCTTTGTCTCGGCTCTTTTGACATTGTTACCCTCATACTTCTCTCTGGCCGCTACAGATGTTTTCCTCTTGTGCAGTACTCACTTTCTCTGTTGTGCTCACTTCCTCTGCCACTAGCACATTTGCAGGGTTGCCAATGGGGGGGGGACTGTGGGGTGGGCAAAATTCAGAGGCCCCAAGCTGGAGGGCTCCTGAAGCCAGTGTCACATTGCATCCAGCTGAATGTCTTTCCATTTATTTTAAAAATGCAGTTCTAGCTACAGCCACTAGGAGCTGCAGGGAAGGCTAGACTTGCCTATCTCCAATACTGAAGCAAACTTGCCAAACAGATTATGCTAAGTACATCAACCAGCACAGAAGCAAGACAAACCATCATGATGATGGCTGCTATAGTAATTGCCAGCCTACAGCCTGCTAACAACTTAGCCTTTTTCTAGTCTTTCCTTGTTCTCAGCTCAGCCAAATCCTGCAAAACATTAGTTAGGGTGTTGCAGCAAGATAAAACAACCCTTCCCTCTCTTTCTTAATTTATCTTTCTCTTTTCCACACTTTTCTCATTCAATTTCTCTATCCCTCTGCCTATTTTGTTTCTGTGTCTCTCCCCCCACCATTTATTTTCTGTTCTTGGTCTCAAGTCCTTCTCAGCCCTATCCTGCTTGGAATAGTAGTACCATAGCAGATCTTTGTTAATATTATGATCAGAAGAGGGGGTGTTAATATTTTCCCATGATCTAACCAAGTAGTAAAAGGATGTGTCCCCCTTCCTCTACCCTTTGCATGCATAGTAATGGACCATTAATCTGTTTAAGTGCTTATACTTGTGGAACATGTTGGAAAAATAGTCAGAAATGCTTAATTGTTCAGAGTGTCAATGGATCTTGCTTCATTGAACGAAGAGACTTTATTTCTGTTTAAAAAGCTTTATTTCTAAGGGTAAAAGGTATACAGAAAACCTACAAATAAACAAAACATCTAAGAGCTACATTTCTCCCGTTTACCGCTCAAAGCATAGTCACACACTTCTCAAGCAATGGTGGACAAACACCTTCTTCTCGACCCCTAGAAAGAAAGTCACCTGAAAACAGTAACCAATCATTGTTTGTAAGCACACTCAGATTCATGGGCTTTTTCCACATTGGCTGTCTGCCAGGTTTCCTTTCCAGGTCAGTCTAGACAATAGCATAGAAAGGTAAACAAGTTAACCCTATAATGGCTGGAATCTGAGACCTTGCAAACACATACATTTCCAACAGAACAGAAATTAGAACTTCCAGTTCAGGCACTGGATTGTTAATCATTACTATGGTTGCCAGGTCCCAGCTGGGTTCTCCCCACGTTTTGGGGCTTTGAAACCCCACACCCAACAGGGACATCATTGTGCGATATCCCTGACATGATGACATGACTTCCAGGTGAAGTCACTGTGCTGAGGATATCATGCAGCAACACTGTGGTTTTTGGGCAAACTCTTTGGTTTTGAAGGCAAAAAACCATAGAGTTTTGTCCAAAAACCAGAACGTCACATGCGATGTCACCAGTGCAATGACATCACTTCCATCACACATGATGTTCTGCCCAACCCCGGAACACCCCCCAAATCCCCCTGCCACAATGGTGAGGGCACCTGGCAACTCTAATCATTATTGTGCTGGTGGAAGATCTGAAAGCCCTTTGTAAAGTCTACTTTGCTATATGACAAATGATGCCATTTTTAAAATTAGATGTATAAAAAATACCATACCAAGTTTTTCTCCCCAATGGAGACCCAGATCTGCATTGTCTTTATATTCTCCATTTTATCCACACAGCAACACTGTGAGGTAGGTCTGGAAGAGTGTGTTACCCAGAAACTTTCCATGGTGGGTTGGGGATCTGAGTATTAGAGACACATGATAAGTTTGCTTAAAAGCTCTCTTGTTACATGTTGCCTGTCATGAAAATAACCTGGTTCAAGGTGTTTCAACTCCTTTTTCTTTTTGGCACTGCAACTTCCATCGTCATTCTGGGGGTGGTGGCCAGTTTTCAAACATGGTAGGATTATTTTCTGAGTTATGCCTGTCACAAACAGAGACTCTTAGCTTCCATTGCAAATAGCACAGGGTGGTGGTGGTTTGTCTCACTTGGATCAGGATTTTCCCATATCTTTCCATTTTGGCTCTGGAATTCCAACAATCATCCTGAAGCTGGTGGCCAATTTTAAGTCTCCTAGCTTTATGCTCTGAGTTATGCCTGCCAGCGTGATGTAAGGGTTAAAGTGCAGGACTAGGATATGGGAAACCTGGGTTCAAACCCCACTCTGCAATGGAACCTTGCTGGGTGATTTTGGGCCAGTCACACACTTTCAGTCTAACCTACCTCAGAGGGTTGTTGTGAGGATAAAATGGAGGTGAGGAGAATGATGTAAGCCACTTTGGGTCTTCATTGGGGAGAAAGATGGGACATAAGTTAAATAAATAACAGTTGCACAGACAGGTCAATTATTATTACTATAGATTCACTGTAACAGCAAGCCGAGTGATTTGTTATGATATTTGGTTTGGATCAAGGTCATACGAGGGCCGGGTAGAATGTTTGTCCAGGGACCCATGGTGGCTCTCAGCAGCCTTGCACATCTTTATTCATAAGGGCTCCTTGAAAAACATTGATCTTGCACATGCAGAAGTGCTAGGAGAAGATGAAGCATACACTGTGGTGGATGAAAGCTTTTATACTGATCAGAAAGATTGTAAAGGGATTATTCCCTATTAAGATAGGAGATCAATAAACAAAAGCAGCGATCACCATTCTCAATAAGAAACAGTGGCCTAAATCAGAACTATATGAAAATGAGAATTAAGGTGTGTGTATCAGTGGATGGTGGTGGAAAGTGCCATCAAGTCACAGCTAATTTATGGCAACCCTGTGGGGTGTTCAAGGCAAAAGACATTCAGAGGTAGTTTGCCATGGCCTACCGCCATGTTATGACCATGGTATTTCTCGGAGGTCTCCCACTGAAATAATAACCAACGTCAACCCTGCTTAGCTTCCGAATTCTGATGAAATCAGGCTAGCCTGGGTTGAGGATGGATGCCATCTATCCATGCTGCATTGTTTTCATGGGAACTGAATGTATACCTATCTCCACATGATGTAAGAACTGGTAACACTTAAATATCTTATTGAAGCATGACTAAGGTTGAGTGAGGGCATTAAGAGTTTTATATGAGTTAAAGCAATTTATGTTTGTTAAATGGATAAAATGGTGTGTGGGGAGGGAGGAGCACTTGTGGCATTTGTTACTAGTGATGGCACATAAATTACTTGATATGAACGTATGGTATTGAAGAACTATATTGTAGACACTATTTACAATCTCCGCAGGTATAATAGGTGATTGGAGTCAGGGTTGAATAACTGCAAAGAACAATGTCTGTTCTAAAATGGCACAAATGAGTAACAAAAATCATCTAAACCTATGTATTTGAAATGCATGGTATTTAATAAATAATATTTTGACTTTTCTTTTTTTTCACAGAAAACTGCCATTAAAGGAAGAAAATGGAAAAGAAGTGTTAAGTTCAGATACTATAGAAATCAAAGTTTCTAATGATATCATCCAGTCAAAAGAAGATGATAGCAAAGCATAATACAACAACTACAGCTGTCTAAAGGGGAAAAGAAGAATTCGGATTTGACTTAATCTGTGACCAAAACTTTACAACTCACTTTAGTTTCTTGGGCAACTTAAAATGGAAGAATGCAAAGAAGTAGATCATGCTACTCCTGCCGGCTGTCCATTTCTTTTATTTCTGTAGTTTTAGTCTATGGTCCTGGCTGACATAAGTCCCTTGGTCTCAGTTTGGCAAATTGGTCAATATAAATAGTGTAATTTATTTTATTGATGAAGAGCATATTTCTAAAGCATCAGGATACACACACACACACACCCTTAGCCACAGACTTTACATGAGACAGCTGCACCTCTTATAAAGGAAGTTAAACCCATGAAAGAAAGTGCCATACACATTTATATTTGTTTGTATTTGCAATTTTGAAAGATTTTGGTTGCCTTTAAAAGAAAATATATATAAATATATATAAATATATATATTATATATAATATATCAGTCTCCATTAGAAATTAGAATATGTGGCTGGCAAGGGCTAAATAATGACCTTGGTTACAGTTGAGACAGGAATAGACTGCAGTTAACACAAGAATAGACTGATCTTCTGCATGGTAATAGCCCTGCACTTTCATACCAACTCTCAAATATAATGAAGAGTTCATAGGTTTGATGTACAGATTTTAACAAAGTGGTGAACTATTTTGATGAAGATGTTGATCACAACCTAATTATCAAAGTCCACGGAATTCTAGTGCTTTCAGATATTTTGTATTTATGTTTGGAAGATTGTGTGTAAGCTACAAATGTCAATACATATTTTGTGTGAAAAAGAAATCTAAAATATGACCACAGCAGTCAACTGCAAAGGAAATCTTACAACAATAAATGCAGGCTCAGTTGAGTTGTCGCAATGTATTCATGAAACACAATATTGTACTTCTGTTACTTTCATCTGATCAATATATAAAAAAAGAATCTCAAGTCTTTATCCAAATGCCAGGATCCAGAAGGCTACCATAAGAACAGCCAATGGCTTTGCTCATTTTTTTCCTTTGAAAAGCTGCCCCCCCCCCATTACAACCTGCTTTGGAAATTATCTTGCATTTCAAAAGAATTTGTCATGTAACATAGATGCTAATATATATTTTAAAAGTCCAAAACTTATTCAGACATGTAGAACTAGCCAGATGAGTGTTTGGATCCAGGCCCAAATATTCACTGTATAATATATATTATAAATAATTTGACTGAATTTCTACAGTCATTTCTGTTTTTAGTTTAAAAATAATAATGGCCAATAATTTATACTGGAAACAACCATAAAAAAGTAAACAGTCATGTTCTCTGCTTATGTCTGGAACTATCTTTTATTATTGTTAAGAAGTTTAAATTATGCCTTTCATATCCCTTTCTGTTTCTGTAGCTCCATCACTAATTTCAAATTCTTATTAAAATAAAGATTAACAGACCAAATCTAACAAATATTTACCACCTCTTGTGAAAAGAATAGGTTTAAATATGGCTTGCTAGAAAAGACTAGTTCCACTTGAATTCATTTTTGGTATAGGAAAGAATAATCTCTTCTTTATAATAAAATGGATTTGGGGTGGCCATTGTCCTATGGGGTGGTGAGAATAAATGTGCTCCCTCAGCCATTGGCCCGCCAGCTGCCGCTCAAGGCTACTGGCGTGGCTTTGGCTGGGGAGGAGGAATGAGGCTAGCCACCTTGGCCCGCACGCAGCTGGAACAGGCGGTGAGCAGCCGGTGGGGAGACGGACGAGGCTGGGCAAATTGGACAGCCAGCCCTTCGCTCTGTCACCTTTTCCCCAGGCAGCCGGGCAAGCCTACTCAGGCCCTCACTCACCTACCCATGCAGAGGCCTCCAGCTGCCCCAACCCACCTTTCCCCATCAACTGCCATGGCAGGTGGGGGGGGAGTCTACTCAGGCCCCCACTTGCCCGCTGCCGCACCCGGCCGCACAGATGCCTCCAGCCACCCCGACCCACTTCCCCCCCTCAACTGCCATTCACGTCCCTGGCTAGCCTACGAGCAGGTGAGGGCTGCAAGGAGCCGCGCAGTGCTTCCCTGCCCCACTGTGGCCTGGACCGGGGGGGCTGCGGGCCCTGCTTGGGGGGATTTCGGCCTATGGCTCCGTTCCCTGCACCCCCACCATCCCTGGCCTCCCGGCATACCCCCACAGAGATCGGTGATGGGGGAGACAGCTGCGCCACACTTCCCTGGGCCACTGCACCCTGGCCCAGGGAGGCCGCAGGCCCTGCTGGGTGGGTGGGTTCGACCACACCCACTGTTCCCTGCGCTGTCCCCAACCTCACTGGGCCGGCGGCACCCCCCACTGAACTTGGGGAGGGGGGAGATGCCCATGGGAAAGCCAAGCTAGCCTATGGGAGGAGAGGTGGTTTACGCCCCCTCCCCTTACCTCTCAGAGCTGGCTTCCTTGCCCTCCCCGTGGCCTCGGGGAAGCCAAGCAAGCCCGTGGGAGGAGAGGCGGCTTAAAACCCCTCCCCTTCCCTCTCAGAGCCGGGTTCCTCGCCCACCCCACAGCCAAGCCAAGCAAGCCCGTGGGAGGAAAGGCAGCTTACACCCCCTCCCCTTCCCTCTCAGAACCGGGTTCCTTGCGGGTGGGGGACACCAGCAGTGGGTGGGAGAGATGAGGACCGTAGCCGCACGGCCAATCTACCAGCCATTGCATTTACAGCTTCAACAGGCCTTCTTCCTAGTACAGTATATAAATCCCATATTATCCACAGGTTTTCAATTTGCATAAGAGATTCATTCATCTACATAGCACCATGCTAACCTTGGGTAGAATTACTGACATTGTAGGAGCAGAAGTATATGGCTTTTGGCTGGCTAGGCTACAAGATTTTAATAATTTCTTAGTCATTTTGACAAGTTTTTGTCAGTCACAGATGGATAAGGTTAATGTTAATTCATGGCTGTCGTACGTCATGGACTTGAAAATTGATTTGTTAAAATAAATGCCTACTGTATGTGATGTTTTCCTTTTGTATTTTAAACTCAGGCTGTTAGTTTGACTTGACAAGTTAAGATTGTTCAGGTTTTTAAAAATATAGATCAGGAGCTTGTTATGTTAGAGGCCTCTACATTGACTTACGAAAGGAGTTAAATTATATCTAAAATGGTGACTTAAAACACTACTGTTGATCAGGAAAACAAAATGGCACTCTAACAAAATGGTTAATATTTGTTTCAGTGAATGAATCAGAATGATTAGCATCCTATAATAAGATCATTCCCTTATTCATTTCTTCCTGACTATTTATTTGAAATATACTGTATGCTTTATTGTGCTATACTCATCATGACATCTTCATATATGTGCATTTTTACCAATATATTAACAATAGGTTGGATCTAAACTTCCTCATCCACAAATGTAAAGGCACTTTTGCTCATATTGAGGAGGAAAGCCTACCCATTGCAGATACCAGTGGTGCATCCCACACTGGCTGCGGTCACACATGCACTAAATAATCCACTTTTAGTGCACTTTGCAACTGGATTTTGCTAGTTCACACAGTAAAATCCAGTTTGAAAGTGCACTGAAAGTGGATTGAAAGTAGATTATTTAGTGTGTGTGATCACAGCCACTGTTCTTCACTGATTCTCTGGTGGCTTTTTGAGGGCACATAGGAGGCTGCAGTGGAACAGAGGCAATGGAAACGTTCCGTTCAGTGAGTAGAGCTCTGCTTGTAGTTCTTTTAATATAACACAATAGAAAGTCAATAGAAATAGAAAGATTATAAGAGACATGGGAGTTCCAGGAAATTCTTTGTAAATAATAGAGGGTAGGAAGACACTCCCCAAAAAGGTTGATTGTTTCATTGCTCTTTTATTTTATACAAAATTCAGTTTTAAAAAAAACTAACCATTTTTGTTACCTACTTTTAAAGGCCTGTGATCCCAAATAAAGATGTGAACATCAATAGGTATCTTTCAATCTATACCTCCCAAATATGTCTTGGATTTCTGATGTCTGATCTCACTGGAAAAGAAAAGCAGGAGCAGAACAATTTATGAATCATGGACAGCTAGTTTAGTTGACGTGCTCGAAATGTCAATGTTTGTTCTAGGAATGGGGTTAAAGATTAAAAAAAACAAATACAGAAGAGAATTTACATAACAAAATATCAGCGTTTTCACACATGAGACCACTATGTGGCTATTTATAAGTTGTATGTGGAACTTGAATCACATTATTCCTTTTTTCTTAACTAGATCAAAGATATCCAATTTTGCTAAAACTATAAACATCACATTTCAATATCTGATAGCAATTGTATTAGTATAAAATGCCAGAAAAAAAATTATGCAATTACAAAACTCAGCAGTAGTTGTTCTATATGTTAATTTAGGGCTGTTTACATATTTGATATTTCTTGCCATGATATAAAGAATAGTGAGACTGCAAAGGGGAAGGTTGTATGCACCACCGAAATACTACCACTGAATAGCAACACAGACGAGGATGGGATGATCTAGGGTTGCCAACATCAAGGTGGGTTAAAAGTAAGAGAGATCATGGGTTGGAATGGTAAACAATAAAATACAACTATGATATAATAACAACCATGATACAAAGATATAGTTATTATATCACAGTTGTATTTTGTTGTTTACCAGTCTCCAGGTGGGGCCTGGCAATCTCCTGCTATTATAACTGATCTCCAGACAATAGAGATTGGTTCCCCTGGAGAAAACGGCTGCTTTGGAGGGTGGACTCTGTGACATTGTACTCTGCTGAGATCCTTCCATCCCTAAACCCCACCTTCCCAGGTTCCACCCCCAAATTCTCCAGGTATTCCCCAAGTCACAGCTGGCAACCCTAGATGATAACTGAAAGTACACCTGCCCACAGACTCAGAGGCCGAGAATGGATAGGACTGTGTTGTGTACAGTTTGGTGAAGTGGTTAAGTGTGCCAACTCTAATCTGGGAGAACCAGTTTTGATTCCCCACTCCTCCACTTGCAGCTGC